AGGGTGGGCGCTGGGCTCTCAGAGGGTGGGCGCTGGGCTCTCAGTGGGTGTGGGTAGAGAAGGCCGGCAGGAGAAGGGGCAGACCTTTGCCTCCCTGCACCCTGACGTGCCCAAGGTTGCACACACCAACCCCCGGCCCCTCAGGCTAGGATCACCTCCCTGCACAGGCCAAGGCCCTCCAGCTCCACCCGGGGCAGAGCGGGACCAGGTGCACCCACCCACTGCACCCGCAGGCATCTGGCCCTCTGTGCCTAGATTCCAGGCAGTTCCTCGCCAGGCCCCAGGCCCAGCCTGCGCTAGCCGAGCGCCTGAGGCTCCACCCCAGCGCCAGAGCTCCCCCAGCAGCAGCAGCAGCAGCGGCACTGTCCCCAGGAGCGATGCAGAGGGACAGAAGTTGGGGAGGGAGGGCCACAGGCACCCCACCGGGGCCTGCTCTCCGGTATCCAACATGGAGACCCTGGGTTTTCTGGGGGTGGAACAGGGTCCTTTGGGACATCAGGGGGCCTGGTTCTGCAGGGAGAACAAGGAGGGAAGGATCTGAGTTTGGGGGGAAAGGGAACGAAGCCTCCTCCCTGACCAGGGGCTCTAAGCCCAATCCCTGAGACCACAGGGGGGCAACTGGGGTGCTGCTGGGGTGCTGGGGGGGCGGGAGTGGAGGGCAGGATCTGCTGGTTCCAAAGGATCAAGGCCTAGCAGTGCCGGGGGGGGGGGGGGGAGACAACCTCACTTCTCCCTGCCGCCCCCTCTAGCCTCAGCCTGGGAGGACTGGCACTGTGAGCTCCTGGAAGCTCAGCCCCTCCGGCCACTTCCCCAGGGAGGGGGCACTTGTAGTCCAGACCCGGCAGTGGTGGGAGGGGTAGAAGTGCAGGAGAGGAGAGGCAACAGGGGAGGACCCAGCCCGAGGAGTGCCTCCAGGACGCTGGCTGCTCCCCACTCACCACCGCCCTGGCCCTACGGCTCCTCTGCTTGCTGCCAAGTGCTGCTGGTAGGAAGACGGGGAGCCCGGGGCCCCGCTCGCCACGCAGCCTCCTCCAGCTGTCCCCACGGACGCCTACCTGGGCCCCTCTTGGTACCAAGCCAGGGGCAGGTAGGAGCACACTGCCCCCGCTGGGCCAGGCCAGGGCCGGAGGGGTGGCTGTCCTCCTTCTCCTCCGTGGTGGCCGGCAGGGGGGCGCCTGGCCCCTGGGCTGGGGGCTGTCTTCTTGGGTCCCCTCTACCGCGCTCCTCGCTCGCTCAGGAGGCAGTGCCAGAAAAGCAGAAGTCAGCTCCCCGCCCCCACTGCCGCGCCTCCTCTCCCTCCTCCCGACCCGCCTCCTTTTCCAGCCACCCACCTCCTTCTGCTCGTTTCTATGACAACCGGGCAATGCTGCATAGACAGCCTCCCTTCCACGTACGCCAGGGGACGCCCGCCCTCTGCTCGGCGCCTGCATCAGCATCGAGGGCGCGCACACTCCACCTTCAGAGATGCCGGTGGACACGCAGGCTCCCGCGGCCACCCCGGCCTGGGGCTCTGCCGCAGCCTCGTTCCTCTTTCTCCCCAGGACCCCGCCTGCGACACCCGACCGGACACTGTGAGCTGCGCCTTTCGGCGCCCCCACCTCAGGTCCTTAAAACCTGGGGGCAGGGCTGCGCTGTAAACGTTTCTCCTTGCTTTCTCATTCGTTCGCCTTCCGTCAGTCCTCAGCATTTTATTTAGCGTTTTCCAGGTCAGGCTGCCTGTGAGATAGTATGGAACTATCTCATCCCACGAAGTTCCACGCCCATTTTACAGACTGGGAACTGAGGCCCACGGTAGTAAAACAACCTGTCTGAGCACCCATGGCTCCTGGGCTCACCGCTGGCAGTGACCCTGTGATGCCAACTCTGGTGCCGCTCCCAGGCCGTGGCTGTCACACACCCCTCAGAGCAGACACCTGGGCTCGCACTACACACGTGTGATCCATGCGCACCAACAGGTGTCCATGCACATGTGCATCCCAACAACGCGCTTACACGTATTTTCGCACATGCATTGCCTCGAGCCTGTGCACCTATCTATACGTACACAAATCACACACACAACTGTAACACAAACATCAACGCACACACATTCGCACGGATGCAGAGCATACTACACACAGCCCTTCCTACCCCAAATCACAGCGGCACACTCACGCCCCAGCCCTCGCCTCATTAGAAGGGACCCAGTGAAAGTGTCCCAACCAGGGCGCGGAATAACGAGCCACTTCCCGGGAGAGGGTCCCACTCTGCTCTGTGCCCCCCCCCCCCCCCCCCGGGGGCCACGATCCAGGCTACATTTTACCTACAGCCCGTCAGCCAGGGCTCATGGACATCCCCGCCCACCTCCCTACGGCTGTCCAGTTATGGGGCTTGGAGCCGTGACAGAAGAGAGTAAAATGGGCCTGTCCCCGCCCCCTCACACAGCCCTGCTCCCCCAGGAGGGACAACATCTTGCAGGGGGTGAGGGGAGGGGGAGACCAAGTGGGGCTGGGGCCCAGGACACACGCTGCCCGCAGGATGAGCTGTCCCCAGCCCAGTACCACCTCAGAGGACCTCAGGGGGGTCACAGCAGCCCTGTGCCCAGGGTAACCCTCAGGGACCCGCACAGCCCAGAGAGGGCAGGAGCAACGCAAAGAACCAGAAGCCCACCGAAAATGAAGCCAGCCCTGGCTGGTGTTGCTCAGTGGATAGAGCGTCGGCCTGTGGACTGAAGGGTCCCGGGTTTGATTCCAGTCAAGGGCACATGCCCAGGTTGCGAGCTTGGTCCCCAGTAGTAGGGGGCCAGGAGGCAGCCGATCAATGATTCTCTCTCACTGATGTTTCTATCTCTCTCTCCCTCCCCTTTCCTCTCTGAAGTCAATAACAATTAAAAAATATATATATTTTAAAAATGAATCAGGCATGCTATACACTGTATGAAACATCCTAGCATCAGAGAAGTCAAATGTGAGGGGCAATCACCTTGGAATGGGTGAAACAGGGAGTTGCATTCATTCAATAGGTATTTGCCAGGCACCCGCCATGTGCCAGGGACGATTCTAGGTGACTATTCTAGGTGGGCACAGCCCCCGCCCGGAGGTGAGAGCTGGTGGCCACTGGACTCCTGCTCTCCAGCAGCATCTGTGGCGGCCACAGCAGCCCTGCAGGCGAGGTCTCAGCACAGACAAGGAAACGGGGACTCTGCAAGGCTGAGCCATTTGCCCAAGGCGACACAGCCAATAAACGCCTGGGATCCGAACCCCCTGCTGCCAAGTTCTGCCCGGGTCCCACGTGGGTCCCACTAAGGAAGGTCCCCGAGTGCGGGAGTTTCAGGGTCACGTGTGCTGCTTCTCCCTCCATCACAGGCCGGGCAGGGTCATATGTACTTGAAATGCCAGGAAAACAGTGGGCACGCGTGAGGACCCCAGAACGACAGGTGACTTCCCGCCGGGCCTTCCCTGGACTGGAAGCTGCAGCTGGGTGTCCCTCGGCCGGAGGCTCTCCGCGGAGGGTCAGGCTGAGGCCAGGCCAGGAGGGGGGATGCCTGGCACCTGAGAGCAGCGGCTCCCTGGAAAGCGAGGAGGGATTAAGTTCCCGGGCGCCTGCCAGCCCCCAGCCCAGGATCATCTTTCTACTAAAGAGCCGGCTCCTTCCAGGGATACCAAAGACAGCTGCCCCTCCCACCCCGCCGTCATCCTGATCCGGCCCCATCTGGTGCCTGGTGGGCCCCCGAGTTCTGCCCTCCCACACTCAGGCGCCGTGGCAGAAGCTGACCCTCTGTCACCGCTCCTTCCCCAGCCCAGGGAGCATCCATCCCCACCCCACCCACCCCACCCACCCCACC